TATGGGGATTTTACTGACGCTGGATGTCCTCATGCAGAGATTGTGGATGTCAGTTAGCCACCAGAAAGTGCCCCTAGTGGCTGTCTCATTCTGCAATGTAATTACCACAGTTTCTTACAAACTGCAAAGATTTAGATTGCAGGACTAAGTGGGACAGGGGCACTGCACCCAGACTGTTTTAATGAGATGAAGTGATCTGGGTGACTATAGTGTCCCTCTAATTCCTGTTTCAATTCAGTGTAGACCAGACACAGACTACATGGCCTTGCCATTGATTTGGACACTCTTAACCAGACCCATATGGCTTGACCATGCTGATAATTTTTCTTCCTCCATATCCCACAAAGATTACCTTAGTGCTTTTTCTTCTTGTGTTTTGTTGCATCTTATTGCCACACTAGCTGACAGCAAATCTCAACTGGCCACAGATAGTCCAAGGGCTTAATTTTAATGAAAGTATTTTTCAAGATAAAGTCCCAGTCGCTGTATCAAACATTCAGTGTCCCTGCCATAACTTTTATGTGAACTAGCTAGAATAAAGAAGCATCACTGGACCACTACTTTATGTTGTCTTCCCTCCCCTCACAAACACAGGCTAGTGGTGGAAGAGTAATGCTGTGCCCACCAGTTAAACTTAGTATCCTGACAGTATCCTATCATGCTTTTTATTTTATTTTTTAAGCTCTTCACTCTCAATGTATCGGGTGATGGCAAGAGTTTCTCAGCTCTACCAGGGCTCATTTTAGGATGTTCAGGTTATGGCCATGTACTGGTATTATGGCCATCTACAGCGACGAGGATCTTCAGAATACAGCTGTAATTACCCACTTCTATAAAATATGTTAGAAGTGCCAAGTTATGCTAAAAAAATCAGCCTTCAAGCTAAATAAGTCAACACAGCATGAAGACTTTCTCTCTGATTTCTGTGCAAAATGACTTGCGTTGCAATATAGTCCTCCTAGTACACTGAGCCTAATACGTGAGCTATTTTTCAATTAGTTATAAGGCTTTTATTTCCATGCTCATCAATTCCATGACAAACATAAAAATAACTCTGTACATTTATAGAACAGACTGACACTCACTGACAGACACACATACGCTGACACACATACACTCACTCACTGACACACACACAGACACTCACTGACAGACATACACTCAATCACTGACAAGCACACACACAGACACTCACTGACAGACATACACACACACACACAGAAACTCACTGACATACATTCACTCACTGACACACACACACACTCACACACACACTCACTCACTGACACACACACACTCACTCAATGACAGACACACACATTCACTGACAGACATATACTCACTCACTGACAGACACACACACACACTCATTGACAGACACACACAGAAACTCACTGACAGACATTCACTCACTGACACACACACTCACTCAATGACAGATATATACTCACTCACTGACAGACACACACACACAGACACTCACTGACAGACATACACACACACACACAGAAACTCACTGACAGACATTCACTCACTGACACATACACATACACTCACACGGACACTTACTCACTGACACACACACTCACTCAATGACAGACACACACATTCACTGACAGACATATACTCACTCACTGACAGACACACACACACACACTCACTGACAGACACACACACACACTCATTGACAGACACACAGAAACTCACTGACAGACATTCACTCACTGACACACACATATACACTCACACAGACACTCACTGACAGACATATACTCACTCACTGACACACACACTCACTGACAGACATATACTCACTCACTGACAGACACACACACACACACAGACACTTAGTGACAGACATACACTTACATACACACACTTACTGACAGACATATACTCACTCACTGACAGACACACACACACACACACAGACACTCACTGACAGATATATACTTACTCAAACACTCACTGACAGATATACACTCACACAGACACTCACTCACCGACAGACATACACTCACTGACAGGCACACACACAGGCAGACACTCACTCACTGACAAACACTTACCTCTCTGGGGTCCAGTGTGGGGCAGCCTCTCACTCCTCCTGCACGCTGTTTAGTATGCCAAGCTGGAGTGAAATCATATTCTGGCTCCCAGCATCACAGAGGGCGTGCAAGGGAGGAGTGAGAGGCTGCAAGAAGAGCCTCCCTTGCCACCTGCATTCTCCTCCGCGCACCGGCATTTGATGGCAGAGCAGGCATCATGGTAAGAAGATGCCTGCTCTGTCATACTGTGACAGGGCTCCTCTGGGCGCCCCCACCTTTGGGCCCCTGGAAGGGTGGCCCAGTGCTGAGGGGGGGCAGCTCTAGAGCCGCTCGCCTAGCGCTGCGGCCCAAGACAGGGGGATCCCACCAGGGAAATGCCTAGTTCGCCTAACGGTGGCGCCGGCCCTCAGTGGACGCATGGAATAACCTTCCAGCTGAAGTGGTAGAGGTTAACACAGTAAGGGAGTTTAAGCATGCGTGGGATAGGCACAAGGCTATCCTAGACTTAAGATAAGGACAGGGACTAATTAAAAGTATTTCGAAAATTGGGCAGACTAGATGAGCCAAATGGTTCTTATCTCCCGTCTCATTCTATGTTACTATGTTTATTAAACGATAGGCAACAAGTTTTTTTTAACCAAAATTGTATTGCTTTCAAACAGAATAGAACACATTATTGCTCTTTTTTTCATAATTTAATAAAGTCTTCTTGCAACCTGGAAATAAAACCCACTACAACAACAACATGTCTAAAGCTCTGTCATATGTTCAGACTGAGGACATTGTGAGTGCAATATTTATGAGGGCACCGGGGATGTGCCTCAATGGTGACATCCCTGCAAAGGTATGTCTTAACCTTCCTTAGTTCTCCACTTCCGTTTATGAATAGTAAATTTCTCTCTTTATAGTTTTAAAAAGCTATAAATACATTTACAACTTCAAAATTGATTTTTAAATAGAGCTTTCTCATTGCTTTTTTCGGAACTCATAAATTCTAGCTTGCAATTTGAAATGTGCCTACAGATAAATGTCCTTTAGCTAACCTGTTTTAATGGCAATTTCAGATCTTGTGTGTCGGGAGATAATTTAAAACCATAAAATTTACAATTTTCAGCAAAGATTTAAAAAATTCTACATTTGCAAATAGATAAGTTAATACATGTATTCATATATGATATCTCTCTGTTGATACATATTTTAGCAAACTGTCTGTCAAGTGCAACTTGTGCCTACTCTTGTCTCAGGTTATATTTGGTATCAAGCCAAGGGAAAGTGTTCCAAAGGAGATTGTTTTGAAGTTGGCAGCATGCTGTGATGATTCCCATCCCTCTACATTTCATGCCACTACATCGATGTAAGGAGAATACTGCATTTAAACTAATGTCTGCATCTTTATATGACATGTCTAGGGTAAAGGTAAAATTCAATTTACAGATCTTAATCCAAGTTGTGAACACATTACTGCTCCAGGCAGCAGCCAAGTAGCCAAATTCTGTTATGATTGTTTAAAATCATTTATGCTGCTCAATATTCTTTAATCACAGGATTTATTTATATAAACACTTGCGTGATAACCCGATTGTTAGCACATGCTGCTTCTGTCTCAGATATTTCCTGTACCTTGCATGCCTGGCATAAATTTGGATTTGCTTTTAAGGGAAAGAAAGTATGGAGTGAAAATAAATAAATAAATGAACGACAAAACAAATAAACGTAAAAAAATCGATACAAATCTTTACGGTTTAATTTCGAAGCACTGTGTAGTGGGTTTGATCATATGTACATGCTAATTAAACACTCTCAATTGCAAATGAGTAAAATATCTATTAAACCCCTTCATGGCAGAGTCTGTAAATGGTACGGAGCTGCCATTAATAAAATTAACGACGAGTCTGTATTTATATGTCCTTAACATATGTGCCCTTAATATTACCGTGATCATTGTGAAATAGAATGAAAATAGGTATGAGGTATGAAAAAAATGAGGTATGAATCTGGCAGTGAAGCACTTAGTGTCAATGCAGTGCAAGTTCTATCTATTAGACTAGAGCAGTGAATTCAGCAATACACATGCATATATACCTTTAATAGGTGTCTATAGTGGAATCCTAGTAAAATGTATTGTTCCTTTAAAACATAAAATAGAAACACACCATAGTATAGACTGTATATAAAGTGGAATGTCAAAGATAAAGACAAATCACCACTCACAATTAAATGAGCTAAAAGGTATAGCTCAATCAATGCACTTTTGGGGTCCGTTGAGGTGACCCTTTCCCTTCTTTTAGGAGATAAGCTTGATGTCTTTATCCTGTATCAAATCGTAAAAGAGAACAAATATGGTGCAATATTGCAATGTTCCTTTAAATGATGAAATATAATGGTAAATCGTACTCACAAACCCTGAGCCTTCCAATTAGGCTCAAATCTGGTAGCATATGTGGTTAAGGACCACATTCCTTCTTTTAAGTAGCAGGAAAAATAATGCCTCAGGTGTGTAGATAAAAAAAATATATATTTTTTTATATTTTATTACAATCAGATATATTTAAAAAGTACCAATAAAATACTTAAATAAAAAACACACAAAATAGGCAAATGGAAGTTCAATAGTAAAGAGTCCTATGCTCACAGATCCCAGGATGCGTTTCGCCTCAATGGCTTCCTCAGCTGGGTAGAAAAAATCTCTGTAGTCTCCCTTGGTCTTCTTTCCTGCTATATATACCACTCTAATGGGGGAATTCATTAATTTCAGGTTTGTGCGTTCGAGGGCTTTCACCATAGAAACGGTGATGCCCTGCGCTTCAAACATCCCTCCTGTGCCGATACCTCATTTCCGGTCTTGCGGTTCACTCTAGTTACTTCCGTATTTCATGCCGGTACGTCATTTCCGGTGATGCGTTTCAATGTGCGTTCCACCGGCTAATGTACTGGTTTCCGGATTGAGGGGATATCGGATAGAACATAGAAAGAATACCCAATATCAATGGATATAGTGATATTAATGTAAACATATAAATAAATATATATAATAGTAACCCATAAGGTTTTGACTGCAAAGTATTTATATATATGTTTACATTAATATCACTATATCCATTGATACTGGATATTCTTTCTATGTTTTATCCATGGTTTACCATTTTTTCACACTGTGGTACTAAGAATTCATATCCAATATTATAGCACTGGTACTGAACTTCCTTTTTTGTATTCCTAGCCTCACTGAGGTAGTCTAGCAATAGCTCCTGATTGGCTCAAGGGAGTCAATCAAAGGATTAACCTGCCTTAACTGTTTGGCTCCCAAGGTGATTAATCAACCTGGAGGTCGATCTACTAAACTGCATAGTTATGGCTTTGGTTAGCATTAGGGTTAGAGAAAGGTTAGAAAGAGCATCAAAGCATGATGCTCTTTCTGCATAGCATTTCTGGGAAACTAATAAAGAGGTATGTCAAAATTAGGGCTCATCTCTAATGTAACCCTGTAATTTCCCCTCTATGCATGTGGGGTATTGCTGTCCTCAGCAGCAGAATATAAATCAGGGGTCTTTACTGTAGTGGGATATACACTGAAATTTACATGTTTGGGAAAATCACATAGCATTGAATACACCCAGCAGCTTTGGCTGGGTTGGTGACAAAATTGTTTGACGGTTTTCTTTCTACAAATATATCCTTTTGTGTAGCAGTTTTGATTCTGCGACTACTGTTAAAGTGTCAGGATGCCGAATTTGGCTCATGTCTAGTTTTAAAACCGTAATTCACTACGTGACATATTTGTCCTATATAGCATCCAAAATTGAATTAAAATTCTAAACATATGAAGCATTTTCATAATCAGGACTAATAAGTGCCACAATGTTTTAGTTATTTTTTTTTTTAATTGCACTAGTTGTGTAGAAGATATTATGCACAAAACAATCTTTTTTTTTTTTTTTAAACTTATTCACATTTAGTATTTTGTTCATAACTGGTATTGCATTGAGTATACAGATAAAGTATCGGGGGGAAAAAACAATTCCTGTCCTTAAAAAAAGGATATAATAAGTATGGTTACACTTAAAGGGGAAGTGTTAAATTATGGTCGAACACATAGCAAAAGTGCCAAAAAGGACTCTGTCACAAAATAGATCGCGTTAGACAATACTGTTTTGATAACTCTGCATGTGACCTTATTTCATTACAGAGTGAGAAGCAATTAAATCACCATCCTTTATTTCTAAAATATAACAAATACAATTGGTTTACACGGAGCATTTAAGCTTTAGAAATTAAAAAGCCAAAATAATTATGTTGGCCATCTTTTCTCTAGTAAATTCTAAAAACTAAATGAAGTTACTTATATTTTATTTTCTACATTCCAAAGACGTCCTTGGAAAACATATCTGGATCTTAATTACAACCACTAATAGAATTGCCATCACTTTGTAAGAGGTGTGAAGCTAATTAACAAACTGTCAGTCTTTTCATGCCACCAACTTTTAAATCTTGGCGTTGTGAAAAGCTGAAGAAGTAAAATTGAATATGTTATCGCAACATTCTCTGAGTGTAGAAATCATTTTCAATTCTAAGCCAGACTGTCTTTTTTGTGTAAAGAGTGTGGTTTTCTTTTCTATGCATTCAAATATCTCATAATAACATTAATTCTGTATTATTGACCAGGAAATTAATTGGTCCATTCTTTCACCATGTACCACATTGAAGTTACAAAGTAAAATTGATGAATTCCCATTTGGGTGTTACAGAATTAATTATAGAATTATATAATGTGGTATGTTTCTTCAATGTATAGTTATATTAATTTTAATCTGTATTTATTTGAAATCTGAGCTTTTTACGTATATAGAAGTTTCTAAGAATATTTAAAGCAGCAATGTCTTTTTTTCTTTTTCTTTCAGTTTTCATTTGCTTATGCCTTGTATCTTAATGATTGTATTCCCCTCTTTGCCACTTGCTTTTATCTATATTCATTGTCTCTTTTTCCTTGTGCAGGATCTACAAACTTGGGCACCTCCATTTTGTTCTCCTCTGTCTATCCCTTCTGTGGGGATTATTTTCACTGATGTATTGTGGGAAATTAGGTTAGCAATTGAAATGGAACTTTGATTATGTTCCACCCATTGGCAAAGATCATGCTACCCATGAGAAAAAGCAGTCCCTACGTCTTCTCATCTACTAAAAAACAAAGTTGAATTAGAAAAAAAATAAGTAAATCCAAATAGAAAAAGAGAAATAAAAAAGAATACATTTAAAAGTAAAACTTGCAAAGTGACAAAGTCACTTTAAGGGGTTACGATCATTGTCCCTTTCTTATTTGCTCATCTGTGAGCAACAGTGCTTATTTATAGTTTGTGGGTGATTTGGAAACATAGATGAAAGCTCTGAATGTACTACTGGTGCAATCTTAAAGGGGCACTAAAGGGACAAAAACAACTTTAGCTTAATGAAGCTGTTTGGGTATGTACAATATGCCCTGCAGTCTAACTGATCAAATCCCTACCATTAAAGGACCACCATAGTGGCAAGAAAATATACTCGTTTTCCTGGCACTATAGTGCCCTGAGGGTGCCCCCACCCTCAGGTTCCCCCTCCAGCTGGGCTCTGGGGAGAGGAAAGGGTAAAATCTTACCTTTTTTCCAGCGCCGGGCAGGGAGCTCTTCTCCTCCTCTCCGCCTCCGATCCTCCTCTTCGGCTGAATGCGCATGCGCGGCAGGAGCTGTGCGCACATTCAGCCAGTCTCATAGGAAAGCATTTACAATTTACAATGCTTTCCTATGGACACTGGCGTCTTCTCACTGTGATTTTCACAGTGAGAAGCACGCAAACGCCTCTAGCGGCTGTCAATGAGACAGCCACTAGAGGCTTTAGAGGCTGGATTAACCCATTTATAAACATAGCAGTTGCTCTGAAACTGCTATGTTTATAAAAAAAAGAGTTAATCCTAGAGGGACCTGGCACCCAGACCACTTCATTAAGCTGAAGTGGTCTGGGTGCCTACAGTGGTCCTTTAATGAAGAGTTAATGACTTTGTTTATGCAGCTCCCGCTACACCTCTCTACATATGACTTGCACATTCTTTGTAAACACTTCCTGTAAAGAGAGATCTAATGTTTAAACTTCCTTTATTGCACAGTCTGTTTAATTGAGAATTTCCTTATCTTCTGTTCTGTTAATAGCATTCTCGATCCCACATGAGCCTCTTTTGTGTGATTAAAGTTCATCTTTTCATTTTTCAGAACAGGAGATAAAAATGAAAGTAAATTAAAGCCTGATTTAAAATGAAATCATATTTTTCATGTAGACTGTGTAAGTCACGGCTTTGGCTGCATGGATAAAAACAAAAGTAACTCCTGAATGGCAGAAAATTAAGCAGTGAGACAGCAGGGGCATGCTCTACATGCTAACTTTGTTTTGATGCCTATAGATAAAATAATACTATAGTTACCCAGAACACCAATGTTTTTTCTGCATTAAGACCTAAACTAAATTGTGACATAAATATAACCCCAAGTAGCCCCATCCACTCCCTATACCCAGTCAGTGATTAAACAATATACCAGAGTAAATGGCAAACAACCACCATACTTTTTTCATTCTCTGAGTGTGGGGAGGATGAAGTTTAGTAAACCTGGGAGCGGTTATGTTTTGTCCTTGTAACATCCTCATTGTACCTTGCCTGATTTGATAAACAATAGGATACAGAGAGGTGTTTGAATTTGTAGATGAAGCAGTGAGTCTCAGCTCCTCTAAACACTGAGTTATCAAACTGAAATTTCTGCTTAGCAATATATGCTCAGGAAGCAACGACGGGATGGTTAGCATATGATGATATGATAAGTTATCATAGCCAAAGGTTAAATATGGGGTTTTACTTCTGTACGAAAAGTTACATCATTATAAGTTGGAAAAAGGTTTTGATGACAATGATTCTAACTTAATTATCTTGAGAAAGCCATGTACGATATTTATCAATCAATACCTGCTTATCAAGTGAAAAGTATCAGCACTCTATTTTGTATTACAGCTAACAAACTCATGGTTCGTGTAAGCTTATCCAAAATGCACCAATATGCCCATCTGAGTTTATATAGAATGTTAAACAGTATACATCAACTATCACGTGAAAATAAAAAGCATGGAAACTATTTTTAGTGAATCAGGGTTGTCAAAACTTAAAGTGACCCATAATCAAATCTCTTTACGTAAAGTTATACGCATTTTCCTTAAAATTCTATTCAATACATAATAAGAGAGGAAGGAATTGAATGTTTCTTAAGTGTTAATACAAGGAGGTAGGGCTATGTTAGAAGTAGCTCTAGGCAACAGATTCCAGCACTTCAGCTGCACAATGCAGGAATCCTTAAAATGTCACCGGTGCCCTGGGGAGAGCCAGGCCAAGTGGACAGTTAAAAACTTAAAACCAATGCACAATCTGACAGGGAAGCTGTGATGACAGCAACAACAGAACTGAATGTACTCTTGGTACTGGTAGCTTGCATATCAAGTTGTTTTCTTATAATGCACATGGGATTTGTTTGCAGACAAATACATAGATGTGACAGGAAAAGATAAATACAGTAAAAAGGAACAGCTTATTTTTTGGAAACAAGTAAAAAGCAGAGGCACATTCTTTCCGATAAAAGGGATTTGCTATCTTAAAGAATTTCACTTTATCAAGCGATAAAGTATATTGAATTGGTATGCTCACTGCGCAATTTGACCTGAGACTGAAGAATACTTTGTTCAATAGGAAAATCTGTAGAATGTTAAAATTTTATTACTGAAACATCAAATTGCAGTGAACTGAAAACTCGATTTGGCAATTCGTTTGTTTACAAACTGTAATTCGTCCTAATTTGGAGTCGATAGGCAATCTTACAAATGCCCGAGCTCCGAAACAAAATGCTGCAGAATCACAAACAAAAGTAATTGAACAATGGCTGAGCATGTTCACTTTGAATCGTTATTCGGAATTCCGCCTTTGACATTAAAAATGGAGATGATTAATGGGAAAAAAGCTGATGGCTAGGGACAGTCACTATATGTTGATTTTATTTACAGATCAAGCGAGAAGTGACCATTAAAGATTTATATATTATATATTTAATAAATGTATATATATATTTTACTACT